CCCCCCCCCCCCAAAAAAAAAACCCTGAAATCAAAAATTTCAAACCCGTCAATTGAAATCTGGAGTACTCCCCCCTGGGCAACATGGCCTCCATCACATCTGCTTAAAACCAGAGGGCAGATCTGTACAGCAAGAGAAGTTAAACAACAAAAATACATCACTGTCTCGTTCCATTGAAACCATAACATTTTATTATATTTAATCTTTTGTGTATTTATACATATTATACAAAATATGATTCTCAAACTTTGTGTTGTTGACTTTTAGGTTTAGTTGCAAGTTCATATAAGAATAATATTTTTAATCATGTTACAATCATTCAATTTGATAAACAAAACATTACATCTTAACTCAACTGAGTCTCATATTTTCTGTCATATTACTTGTGAATGTACCCATGAAAAATAAAGCAACAGAAAGGGATATTTTTCAAAATTATGGGGAAATAACTATAACCTTTTTAAAAATAGATCGTTTGGGTGTGTAGTTCTTGTTGGATTCCTCTTTCGTGGTTTCAGCACTACGTTCTTCCTTTTCAGCAGACATTAACTTGGCTATTCTTCTTTCTTCTATTTTCTAACAACACCAGGGCAAGCAAAGTTTAATATACACGCTGATGTAATATTGTCTTTTGAGCTTCATAATTGGTATTAATTATTGTTAAGATCTTTCCACAGCCTCTGCCACCACATGCTGTCACATTCATGTAGTACATTATTTGTATGAAAAAAATTATTGCTGGGTGGTCATAACGTATGATGTTGTCTGTTTTTTAACACTTCTACTTTAACAACTGGCTGTGCAAAGTCATGAACACAAGATCTAGAGTAGATTACTGGTGTGCCCTATTATTTATTCAATTCCTATACAAAGGCCCAGGATTGAATATGTTGTGGTTATTATCAAACGTTAGTAGAATAAATTTAGTTCTATTCAACAAAATATTTTACTTACCGCTCTGTATTTTGACAGGACTATGTCCTTGATTTGTAAGGGGTTGAGTGGACCCTGTACACTGCTTTCACGTCTTACAAAGACCTTAAAAAAGGAAAAAAGAGTCATGTTGTTCCATAATTACATCTAAGACAGTTTAAATACAAATTAAATTTAAATCAAATTATTGAATCTACGTCAAGCAATGCCGACACACTAGTGGCTATGAAAGTAAGCATTTTCCTCTAAATGAGAACTATTTCCACTAAGGATAAAATATACAGGGCACTTTAAAATCCCCCTGACAGTACACTACCCCAGATTGAGGGACTTTTTCAGAAGGAGGAGCTTATCAAGGGTTGCTCAGAGGGCTACAGAGAGGAATTAGTTAGTAAGTAAGTATTAAGTAAAGCATTTATTTAAACAACATAAAATTATGGCTATGCTGATATGGTCATGTAAAATTAAAAAAAATTATTTACATGATAAAGAATTAAATAAATAAAACTGATATGTTTTATACATTTTATAAAAGCTAAAATTGGATTCAAAACTACCATGTATAAAATCTAGAAGACAAGATCTTAACAAAGCATTTAAAATTTTCTAAACAGGTGTTTTTTCTCTTATCATTTGCTAAATTGTTCCACAGAAAAGCACTCATATATTGAACAGACTTCTTGACTATCTCTCTTTGGGGTCAGCAGGTTGACACATGATTGATTCCTTAAAATGTATTTGGTTTTATGCTTAAAATACGTTTTTTAGCAGGGAAGGCATGCGTTTGTGGTAACATGAGTGAGCTAACACAATATTTTTTCTGTTTCGATACGTTTGTAAAATACATACAAAGTCATGTGATGTGGTATCTGCATTTGCTCACCTCATGCTTACTGGTTTCGTACAATTCTCCCTTTTCACCAGCCTTTACTGATATTTCTATAACATACGTGTCATCTAAAAAAGTTCGCCTCCCCTCTCTCCTCTCCCGATCTGTCTGTCTATAGGTCACTGGAATAAACTTTACACTGACAAAAATGGGAATAAAAATATATTTACACTCTAAAAAACACTAACTATTGATCTAGTGAATGTACAATCCACTTTTAATAGAGGAAACTTCCTCATCTAACATGTTATCTAATTTGAAGATGCTGCTGCTGATGAACTTGATGACAAATTTCATTGAGGTGTCACTTAACATGTCTGATTAATTTGATTTCTAGGGCGAGGGGGGGCACTTAACTAACTACAACTGCATTGACTATCATTAAGAAATGATTATGATTTTAAGTTTACAAGTTTAGATATAAACGTTATCTTTGAAAGAGGATTAGATTTATGACATCACTGGAGAATACACCTGTTTGGTGACCAGAAAAATAGCTACAAAACATTGATACATGCAAATTTTTAAGTAACTTGACCTGTAATATTCTCTACAGGTCTGTAATGAAAAAAATAAGGTCATAGTATAACTAGCTGTCCTTAGTAACATCAGTTCCGATCTGACAGATACATATGGGATATTCACAACTTTTCATTTGATTTGGACGGAGTGAAGTAAAGCAACATACCTGTACAGAGAAGGTGATACTCTCGGAAGGAATCCCATAAATTCTCTATCCACAATGTCAAGAATTCTCCTCCTCATTTCAAATGAGCACCGAATACCACGGATTTTTCCTAGTTAACAAACAATACACCTTAAGTTTAAAGACATAAAACTAATAGTAGGGTTGAAGTTAAGGGTAGTCTTCAAACTATTATTATTATTATGAAACTAATATAAAGTACCAATACTTTCACCAAGTCGACTTAATCTCAAAATCTTGGTTTGTATATTCATATGAAAGGAAACTACTTATGGAGCACATCCACATTCATCAAAAATCTATTGGCCCTCTTTGCAAACACTATCAGCCCTCTTTGACTTATTTTCATACCTAGGAAACTCAATGAGAGGCAATTGTCTCATTGACTATTATTTTGGTCTAATGCAGTTTCTCATGAATATATTTCCCTGAAAATGAGCCACTTGAGTCAAATTGATAAAGTCTCTACAGTCTCTCTTATTTTCTTCCCAATTATGTACCCCATCCCAACCACACCCTCCTCTGCCACAATTCCTAACCATAAAACTTCCCATCCCTGTACACCTGTCCAGAGGAGATCAAACTAGGGGTAGTCTATCCAAACCACAGAAATGTAAGGTAAGTACTACACTGTGAACATATGAAAAATATTAAGGAAGTGCTGGATTTCAACAATGTAAACTGCAGTAATTATTATTTAATTTACCAAAATATCAATAATTTATAAGTATTACCTATAGTCAACTAACCATTGTCAAGGATACCAGCTAACAAGACACCTCCATCTGAATTTAAGAATGCGCTCCCATATTTTCGTACGTGCTTTAAGGAAATATTAACAGGTATAAACAGATTAAAACACACATCTTCAATACTCTTATAAGAGATTTATATCAATCTGAGATGCAAGCAGATATAATAATAATCTTGTTGGCATAGGCTTAAAGAATCCAATGAACAGACAAAAACTCAGAATAAATTGGGAAATGCTTAATAGTGATGGCAAGTGGGAGAAAAAGGTACAGAAACAGCAGCTTCCAATACTAGCTCTGGAAAAAAGTAATTTATTGAGAGACGTACTGATAGAGACCCCTGAGACCCTTGGTTTTTAAATCTGAGATTTTAAAGCAGAAACTTGTAGTTTCAGAGCCCAATAGAAAAACAGAGCACTATAAACAAGACTCTGAGACTTGTCACAAAAACTTCTAAGATTCAGAGATAAGATCAAAATATTCTTAGACCTAGTCTGAATTGCATCAGCCATTTCCTCACCCCACCCCCAAAGGACAGCCAATCACAATCNCTGGAAAAAAGTAATTTATTGAGAGACGTACTGATAGAGACCCCTGAGACCCTTGGTTTTTAAATCTGAGATTTTAAAGCAGAAACTTGTAGTTTCAGAGCCCAATAGAAAAACAGAGCACTATAAACAAGACTCTGAGACTTGTCACAAAAACTTCTAAGATTCAGAGATAAGATCAAAATATTCTTAGACCTAGTCTGAATTGCATCAGCCATTTCCTCACCCCACCCCCAAAGGACAGCCAATCACAATCACAAATTTGATTCTTTCATCTTTGCATTTTTGCTTAGCTGTCAACTCTTTCATCATTTTTTCCCACAGTCTATTTGCTGCCTGGAACAAGGTTGCAATAAGTATTGTATATTGAGGCAATGTACCTTCTAAAATTAATATTGGCAGCACCAACTGGTTATGAAGAATTAGCCTTAAAAAAGTTGGTTATGTCCCTCTGCACACCTTTTACAAATTAATTGTTTGATATACAGCAACTTGGCTTAAATTGAAGTCACCTTGGAGAGCTCATCAGCCAGACTAGATGGGATTTACCCTGTGCAGATCCACCTGATCGCGATTTGGAGTTCACCTGATCACTGCAGTGTCCGTAATAAAGAGGTTAAATTTATATGAATTTACTCTCTGGGGCCGAGATTTAGTGTTCGTTGTCCGTATTAGAAAGAGTCCATATTATAGAGGGTTTTTTCCAAAAGAAAATATATGAGAATTTTGTCGGGACATTGGAAACTGTCCATAACATAGAGGTGTCCATATTAGAGAGGTGTCAGTACCGAGAGGTTCGACTGAATTGGACTATGTCCCTGAAATACGTATAAAATTAATGTAGTCCATTCACAAAGATAAATCACTACATTTAGCTGTCAATAAACTGTCAATTAGACCGATATCCGGCCGTGTGATTGTCATTCGCGATCAAAGTTCACCTACAAGTCTTGAACAAAGTACAGCACAGCTATTCACAATCAAATCCTTCTCTGGCCAATTTTTAACAGCATGGAACTTTATCACAGTACGGAGTAACCATTGAATGTTAATCTTTAACAAACATTAGGCAATTTTTACAAACCCCTATTAACCAGACACCCTCTTTTAGGTGGACACTTGGGAAGGTCTCAAAGGTGTCCGCTTAATAGAAGTTTCACTGTATAACAAAACACTTGATGTCAGATCCCTTACGAAATCAGTTAGTTTAGTTTGACTCTCGGGAAAACAAAACTAACTTTTTCCTTTGGGATCTGGCATTAAGTGTATAATGTATTTACCTCTGGTAATATACTGATGGGGTAATTACCCCCTCCAGTTTTGAATTCATGGTGCCGCGATTCAGTGACACTGATAATACTGTCATAAATGTAATATGAACTTTGCCTGCAAATAAGACAGTCAAGAAAAAAATATTAGACATATGAGTGAGCATGATAAATGTATAGTTACAAGTAATTTGAGCTGGTTACATGCACAGGTGCTCAGTTAATAATTCAGTGTTCCATATCAGGCAGTAACCGGTAAAATTTACTGCCTGAAGCAACACTTCTTACCGCCTGCAATGGCCTGAAGGTTTACTAAAATTAAAGAAGTAATTTTTAAAAAATACACAAGTTGTGATCCGATTCTCACATGCCACAAGGAAATGAATGAATGTATGGAAAAGTACTTAAGTATACACGGCTTTTCGGCTTTTATGGGCCACGCATTTTGGAAAGAGAACATTGAGGACAGAGTAAAATTATTGGAATCAATCATTTAAATTGTTGTGTAAAGGTAACGTAACAATGGCCAATTTGCGTAAAGCAGGTCTTAAAATGAGGGAATGACATTTCAAGAGAACTTAGTACCTAAATTTGGCGGCAAGGGCAGGACCATATCCCCCTCCCCCACAGGAAAGTGCACCTCTGGCACATATTTTTTCTCCTTACCGGCCAGGAATGGCCCCTTACCTGCTGAGCTAAAATTTAGGGAGAACACTGAATATTAATAATATTATTATTTTTATTCATTATTGTTATAAAATCGAAGTGATTGTTTTTCTTTAATCGCCAAAAGGTGTTTTCTTAATTGAAATGTACTGAAAATAGTACTTTCACTGGATGTTTTTTAAAGCCAAATTTAATAATTATTGTAAATAGGACTTGTATTTAGCCTTTTTATCAATAAAATATTATTATCATTATGACAATAATGATGAATGAATATAATATTATTATTATTATCATCATCATCATTATTACTATTTCCTTGCACTTGTCATGTACTACGTTCTAAAATGTCAATTTTTCCCCATTGTTTTTCTCACAAGGGAACAAGAAGAAAGAACAGTATATAGGAGTATAGTCAAACCCCGCTTTACAAACACCTACACAGACATCTCATTATCACACACAGTTTGGTTTGTCGCTGGGAAAAGTTAGCCCTTACATTTTCTCTAAATTCAACCCTCTTAATATTGACACCTTCAATGCTACCCCCCCTCCCCTTAAGTGTAGTGTCCGTATTAACCTGTAGGGTTTGACTGTATAAACAATGAATTTGTGTTTCTTTGTTACAAGTTTCTCCTAACTTTAGCATATAAAACAAAGTCTGCATTATGGGGAGACTACTATCCTCCCTTCCCTCTAAACAATGGTACTCCTCTATAATGAAAGAAACAACTAAAATATATGGTGTCAGGTAAGATTTCTATATAGCTGGCAGCAACCTCAAACTATTTCACACAAACAGTTTGTGTTAAAACCTAAGCATGTATTCATAATAAATATATGGGGCTGAGTGCAAGTCTTACTTTAAGGTCATTCCTTTTAGTTTTAAATACTTGCAGTGTGTGGGGGGGGGAGGGAAGGGAGGAAACTTCTCTGTCTCTGTCAGTTGCTTCTCAAATCTACCATAATTTTTCTCTGACATACCGCCACTCAAGTGATGACTTCTTCACACTAAATGGTTCCAATGGCGTCATCAGATATCTTGCAGTTCGCAGGGGTCCAGCCGGGGTGGTAAACAATGTAGACCTTACATCCTGTGTGTAGGTTCTTCTAGTAAGGGCTTGAACTGCTACGGCAATCTTATCACGTAATCCATGGCCTACTTTTTTCACCAGGGAAATTACCCGAGACTTTTTACTTGGCTGCACAAGCGATGCATCTTCCCTGTTATCCTCCTTTCGTTTCCTCTTGTTCAAAAAATTCATCTGATTATTTTTGAGAAAAAAAATGATCAAAGATCTTTGAAACACACTTTCTTTGTGGTTTTTGACATAATTAATGTAAAAAATAACTATAACACTTACAGTTAGCATTGTTTAATACACATTTTCCAAAAATTATCATATATGCAAAACACATCCACTTTACAATATTATTGGCAACAACAAATCGCCTCCCCCCTCCCCCTGACAATGTTGTTCTTGGTTGATTGTGGTGAAATGTAATAATATTGGAAAGTGCAATTAGAACTAACATCAAACAAGGCACTCTACAACATGTATTCCATAACATTAAAACAAGGGAGGAGGGGAGGGGATACTGTGGCAAGATATTGATCAACTTACCATAATATGGGCTATGTAGGTATGTGCCACTGTGAAGGGTATGGTTTTCAAGCAGCTAACTCTGGGATAGGGTATAGAAATCAGAGAGGTTGGGTCTACAGTGAAACCTCGATTTAACGAAGTGCCAAGGAACTGGGGAAATTTGTTTGTTAAATTGAGGGCAGGTTCATTATATGGAACTCCATTTAACGAATTTTCAGGAAAACTACCAAAATATTTGTTGTATCCAAGTCTAGTTAATAACTAATTTAAAACCAAGCATTTACTCCTTAGAGTAATAAGTCATAACTCTGCTACATCTAGATTATAAATTACACTGGCCAGGGATATTGCACCAATATAAGTACCCTTCAAATGTTTGCTTTGATTGCCATGATGACTCCGAAACATCGATCACTGTTTTTAAGTCTTATGATCATCTAACAGATCAATACCCTCGACTAAATCTTCATGGCCGGTTGGTGTTGACCAAATTTGGAAGAAGCGGGAAAATACGATCATTGACCTCATGCAAATTAAAGTAAACGAAGATACTGATTAAAAATGGGCGGAAATTCGCAAAACAAAAAGGGGTCGATGCCTGTCATCTGCTTTTTGAGGAATGCCTGCGAGGAAAAATATCCTGCCATAGTCTGTAAACAGTCCAAATGTTTTGATGAACTCTGCGAGGAGGCAATGATGTTTTTGAATTTACAAACAATAAAAATGTGTTGCTCGTTTATCTAACCGCAGTTATTAAAAAGGTCATGATTATCTACCTTACCTTTGCTAGAACCTCAACTTCTTGCTGTATGAACCACAGGTGGCCCAAGCGTAATTTGAGAGTTTGTACGGGAAAAATAGAGTTTGAAACTTAGATGAAATAAATGAAGTGAAAGCGATAAAAGTTATCAATAAAGTGTAAATATTGTTACCTGGAGTCGTTGTCTTTGCTTTTACGAAGTTTCAACGCGATTTGAGTACTTCTACATCATCTGACATGACAGTGTAATAATAAGAGACAAGGTAGGACAGAATCGCTCGATAGACCTTCAAAGCTGCTCAGAATCGGCTCCAAATTTTACGCGAAAACACAAACACACTTACATTTTACGCCGCCGAATCCACAAAGTGGTACCTTAAGATCACCTTTCTGCAATCCGTCCCGGTAAACCTTGCGTTTGGATCGCATAACTCGATCGAAAAGATCAACTACAGTTCAAAAATCGGCGCCATTTATCCGTGACTAGTAAAAGTGTAACATTTCAACCGTTTTGTCGCTCGGCGGTGACTGGGCGCTAGCGTCAACTAATAACTCACCGGGAGAGGGTGACATTACTTCGTTAAGACAAATTTCTGCGCACCCACCTCCGAGCAAGGTGGGCTTCTTTGTTTTCACTCGGCCAATGAACGAAGAAACAAAACAAAACAAAGAAGAGCCGCCCTTGCTGGAAGGTGGGTGCGTAGAGATTTGTCTTAACGAAGTAATGTCACCCTCTCCCGGTGAGTTATTGATTTGACACTAGCGCCCAGACACCGCCGAGCGACAAAACGGTTGAAATGTTACACTTTTACTAGTCACGGATAAATGGCGCCGATTTTTGAACTGTAGTTGATCTTTTCGATCGAGTTATGCGATCCAAACGCAAGGTTTACCGGGACGGATTGCAGAAAGGTGATCTTAAGGTACCACTTTGTGGATTCGGCGGCGTAAAATGTAAGTGTGTTTGTGTTTTCGCGTAAAATTTGGAGCCGATTCTGAGCAGCTTTGAAGATCGATCGAGCGATTCTGTCCTACCTTGTCTCTTATTATTACACTGTCATGTCAGATGATGTAGAAGTACTCAAATCGCGTTGAAACTTCGTAAAAACAAAGACAACGACTCCAGGTAACAATATTTACACTTTATTAATAACTTTTATCGCTTTTACTTCATTTATTTCATCTAAGTTTCAAACTCTAGTTTTCCCATACAAACTCTCATATTACGCTTGGGTCACCTGTGTATGAACGAGGAGCTTTTCTCCCATGATACAAAACTTGAACACGAGTCACCCGCCAAAGCCGCCAAGTTTTCCATCCTAGTCCCCAGTCCTTCAGTCTCATCATTTCGCGTGACCACCCCCAAAATAGCCTGATAAGGGGCTAGGGGAGAGGGAAACGCCTGATACTCAGGCTACCCCCAAAATTTCTTTTTTTAGTCATTTTCAGTTTCACTTTCCTCTGCTGTCACTGAAAACGTCGAATAAACGAGTCAGAAAATCAAGCTTCATAGCTTTTTGTTATTCTTCGAGAAGACTTCAAAAGAAACAACTCGATCAAAAGGTAAAGTAATTATTGTTCGAGCGAAAAAAGGTTCAAAGTGAAGCAAGATATATAAAGTAGTCATTCCGAAAGTGAAACTATTCAAACCGTCTGTTAAATGGCACTATGGAATTTAAAATTGCTCGAATAATCTATCTAGATCAATGACATTAATCAGATAAATTCCATTTTACATTGCATGTATTTTTCTACTAATATTTAACTTCTTAATTGCATTTATTTTTATTTTGATTCTAAATTGTTTTAAATTTGCTCTATCAAACAGAGGCTCAAATTATCATGACGACGCATCTTCATGCAGGGGTATAAAAGAGTCATAAAACGTAGGATACACTGATGTCAAGAGACCAGAATGGAACTGTAATTAAATTTTACAGATATGACTGACGTCGAAGGGTAAGTTTAATGTCCAAGTCCTCATATCTAGTGCGATCAACTCTGGTTTTGCGTATCTGTTCATCTGATCCAGGCTATTAAACAAAACAAAACCAATATTGATATTCTCTTTATTTGCAACGGAGGTTGTCAACTCACCGGAAACAGAAAAGCCATAAATTTCCCGATCGGGTACAAAAATCTGAAGCAGCAAAACAAATCAAAACCTATCTACAGCTAGTCCAAATTTGTATGGCTTGCGAAAACATCCGTTTCGACTCGCTCTTCGCCGCTGGGGACGTTTCGCGCGGAGGAACGAAACGTCTCTTGCTGCTTCACAGATTTTTGTACCCGATCGGGAAATTAATGGCGAGGAGAAACGGATGCTTTCGCAGGCTAAAATTTGAGTACACCAGCACAAGTAGTGTTTTGATTTATCGCTGTACGAATCAATTATGACTGATTCATTCTGAGGTTCATGATGATTTACCGAGTCAAGGCAAGAGCATAAATGTAATCGATAGACACCTACGCGAATATTTACGAGTTTGTTCTCCATAACAACGATTTACTTCACTTATACCATGGTAATTTTTAAGTCGAAAAGCAAGTTGAATCAGTTTAACGAAATGGCCGACTTACGCAACTTGGAGAAAATCACGTAGTTTCGCGGGTGTTACGAAAACTAAGACCCTCGAAAGCTAAGACCTAAGACCTAAGACCCGTCTTAGTTTTCCAGATTACGAAAACTAAGACCCCCTAAAATCGAATCCGTCGAAATTTAAAGTCAAATTGTAACCGAAATAGGTCTGATCTGTGAAATTATATCATGTTCGATCCTTTCCACCGAGTTTTAGGTCAAATTTAACGGTAAATTTAGGGGTCTTAGTTTTCGTAATTTCGAAAACTAAGACCCCTCTTAGTTTTCGTAATTACGAAAACTAAGACCCCCACCAAAACAATCTCTAAAATTTCTACAAAGTCGAATTACGACCGTTTGAAGACTATAATCCGTAAGACAAACAAAAACTACTATCATACGCGTGCTGATATACGATACGCTAACAATTTGAAGACTCGCTTTAAAAAGAGGACCAAAGCCATAGATTTCCTACGTATCTATTGGTACACTGAAAATATGCCTTACCCCTATTGGTCTTTAATTTTGTTGTTTATCCTTTAAATCATGAAATGTTTCCACTGGAGATGGATGTTTTTCTTCGTGTCTCTGCGATCGAGATTGCGTTACCTGTAACTATCACCTGAGGGGGTTTGTGTCCAGCGGTTGTCATGTTTATTTTTTTTTTAATATTGTTCTGAAATTAGAACTCCGATTCTCGAGACGATGCTTTGCTAGTACAGTAAATTCATTCACTCATTCGTGTTTTTTAAAATTATTTCATGAGTGATTTTAGCGATTATCCCTCACAGACTATTTCTCCTTGCCCCCCACCCGTACCCCTCAACTACCTTTGCATTGTAACGCGGTGATCTCCGGGGTGGCAACGCTAAAAACAAACGCTAGAAAAACGCAATGTAGCATATTCTCCTTTTTTCGCCCTTGTTATAAAAGCACTTTTCTATCTATGACCTGGCCAGAAAAGGAAAAAAAAATCCGTATTTTTGTGTGATGTTTAACCGATAACGCCGTAGACCACTTAGCGATCATGAGGCATTCAGGTCGC